AATATAACATTGGCAGATCCCATAGAGTTTCCCATGTCTTGCATGCAATTCCCAGTAATGATCAGAATGATTGTAGGGGACATAAATACTCCATCTCTTAGACTCAGTAAAACATAGCCAAATATATCCTAAATACAGATTTAGTGTAATCCATTTCTACTATTATTTTGAAAATAGTTAAACCATGACAAAAAGTACTATAGAGTACTATATAACCTGTAAGCTGCCAAGCCTATATTTTGGTTTTGGTTTTAGTTTTGGTTTAGACAGTAATCATTCTATTTTTATGGTGCATAGTTTTTTAGGTGTTTTTTGTTTGTTTGTTTGTTTGTTTCAAACTTTATTCTCTAAAGATATCACCTGATTCAAATAGAAATGGTATTATGTGTGTAACATAGTTTTCAAAGGTTAATAGCTATTTCTCAGTGTTAGTTTGAGAGATGCTCCCCATCTTGGCCATTGTAACAGCTGTGTCTCAAAGATCACTGATGATATTAATCTGTGCTGAATGGGAAGGTTATATTTCCTGTCATCATGCAACAACATAACAACATCAGGGGAAAAGTAAGAAGAAAAAGGAAAGAAAAATTGCTGATCCACAGCTTAGGTTGAAATAGTTAACATCTATTTCAACCTTGTAAGAATTTTTGTTTAAATCTTGAGTAAAAAGTATGGAGTTAATATAAGTCCTGTGATGAAAACCCAGGAGACAAAGTCCAAATATGCCCTTTTTCTACTCTTCCTTCCACCCAAGAAATACAGATGTGTGCTCGGGTGACACCCCCTGGAAAGGAGGGCAAATACATTGAAAGAGACAAAAGGGTAGGGCTAAAACTATTTTACATTTGTTCTTTTATTGTATTTGAAGGTATTTCTGTTAAAAAGGAAAGTATATTATAAAGTACAAAAAAAAATTGTAATTATCTTTGTGTATGAAAGTTTGTGTTTATTTATGTCTGAGGCCTTCAAATATAAAATAACAGCTTATTCTATGGAATTGAAAAGTTAGAGTCTTGAGCAGAAAGAATGTTTTCTTTGGAGACTTTTTTAGAGGTCTTGGTGAGCTCTGTAGTGGGACTGGCATTTAGTTTCCTTTGAGCTACAATACAGTCAAGTCTTCTAATATTCTCTTTCCAAGAAGCTGTGTTAGTCATAAATAATACATTTATTGTAACCTAAGAAAAAGCACAAGAAAGATGGTTAGGAACATTGTAGCAGTGAGCTAGTAAGAATGCAGCAAATACTGAGCAGCTAGTCAAAGTGGATGAGGACCAGGACAAGGTCAGGGGAAGGTCTGGTGGGGCAAACAAAGGAGGGGCAGGTGAGGGAAACAGCAGCAGGGTCAGCCTGGATCAGGCTTTGTTGCCTTTAAAGATCTGTCAGTCCCTGGCCAATGGGGTGGGGGGTGGGGCTTGTTTAGTTTTGCCTCTTTTTTTTTTTTTTTCTTTCATTTTTATTAAAATATCATTATTTTATATCAAAATATCAACTGGTTGGCATTTGTGAGTGGGAGAAAAAGAAAAAGAGATAGAGCTCACTAAACACTATTTAATATCTTTTTCTTACCAAATTTTCAGATTCCTTTGTGGAGTGGTGTTTTATTAGCAATCAATTTTAATTTAAATACAACCCTTGTTTGTGTGATCTGGCAGAAAAATTACAATCATATTATATTTGAGGAAAATATTTAAAGAACTAATGATGTGTGAGTTCAAAAATACTGGATCACTGATAGAATTTAGATCCTCTTTAAGGACCTTAAAGATGATAAATAGAGGGAGGAAGGAAGGGAAGGAGGGAGGGAGGGAGGGAAGGAAGGAAGGAAGGAAGGAAGGAAGGAAGGAAGGAAGGAAGGAAGGAAGGAAGGAAGGAAGGAAGGAAGGAAGGAAGGAAAAGATACAAAGTAAGCGGCGTTATATTAAATCTAACAAAGGAAATCAAGAGGACAGCTATGTTTAAATCAGATGAAAACAACTCTATAAATTCCTGTCATTGTAATATATTGTAATTGTAATTTTGTCAATTGTATTATTGTAAATAGTGACTATGTAGAGTGAAAGAGCCTTTGAACATAAAATAATTTATTCTTCTTTAAAGATGTTTAGATAAAATTTTACTTAGCAAAATATGTAAAGAAATACATATATGAGTGGGGGAAAAAGAATAGCTTAAATAGATAAGTTGAAAACCTTTTATTGCTGGACTTGATTAGAATTTGTCCATGATGGGGTTTACATAGCCAAATTATCCATATAGCAAAAGACTACTAAAAATGGAAACAATGTACTGTAAGGAAAAGATTTCAATTGAGCTATCCCCAAAATGTAGAAATATTCAAAGATATTTTTAAATTGAAAACTACCAGCCAGTTAATTTATATAAAACTGAACACATTAAATTTAATGTTATATTACACTAAATCTACTGGAGAAGATGATAGAATTTTTTAGCTAATTTAGGAATACTAGTTGATAATAAAACAAGTAGAAGAGATGTATTCATCTCGTGAATGATTGCACTAAAATATGAAAATCTTCCGCTTCGAAGTTGGACGAAGATCTCATTTTCAAACTGAAAGGTGCTTGGAATTCTTCCAGCTATGCAGCTATTGATCAGTTATGAAATAATTGATAAGAGTGATCAAATATATATAATGTTTGCTACACTAGATGGTGTAAAAGAGGCATACAGTCAATACAAAAAGCAGACACAAGTAATTTATTACATATGCTTCAAATGAAAATAATAAAATATTTTCACATGCAAAGCTTTGACATACCATTTCATAGATGTACAATTTTACACTGTTATAAGCACACAAAAATATATTAGTCGCTGAAGTGAAGCTGAACAGGATAAAGGAACGATTTGCAATACTCTTCCCATAGGATTTTGATAACCTAGGCAGTTCTGAAACAGTATGGCTCAATTCAAAACACTGTAAAGAATGAAAAAAAGACAACAACTACTGTTGGCTGTAGGCCAAAGCAATTTGCTAATATTGATAATTGGAAAGCTAAGCAATTAGTTAACAATATTACTAGGCACTTTGCTAGGTTGGTTCTTCTAGAAAGAGAAAGACATTCTGAAAAAGACAGGTATTCCTTAGATACAATTCAGTTCATTCACAGAGAATGTTTATACCTTCTTGTTTTTACTGAATAGATTTCATTCATAACTGTTTATTCCTCATGGCTAGCTAAACATTCCTGACATTTTTGCTGGTGCCATTCAAGTGAAAAATTGCAATTTTGACTGTCTTACCTGATGACTAATTCATCACTCTGAGCATATTGTAATACAGCTGAAGATGAGCAGCATTATTCAGCCACTTTTGGGGTTATATCAATCTGTCAAAAAATGTTTCCTCCAACACTGCAATTTCCCCCTCAAAATTGCTCTGCTCCAAGGTATGTCAAGTAGACATTATCTATCCTACAGTAGTTGTAAAATGCTGGAGACCCAGTAAATTATGTACTAGCAAAGCAATTTTCATAGGAAAAGCATGCTTGCATCATTTTTTTTTTATTATTATTATTTATTTTTTGGTAGGACATGCCCTTGCATTATGTCATATCTTAATGTCATACAGCCAGATGGATATTTTGGGGCAAAGTTTTTTTTCAGTTTACTCTTTTACATACAGTCTCTTATTCCAACTCCGTCTAAATCCTAAAATAACAACATGCTATGTCTTTTCTGTTACATCCTATGCCTTTCTTTTAAATAAGGACAGAATAAGTGGAAATATTGCCTAACATTATAAAGCTAGTCTGAAATTCTGAAACTTGAAGATATAGTTCTAAAAAAATCACAACAGATGATTCTTAAAATAACTACCTTCAAAACTAAGGCTTAAAAGGTGCCAACTGTTCTGATTTGAACTGTATTTTAAAGTAAAATTATAATGACTAAAAATAAATAAAGAGATCTCAATAAAGGTCAAACATTAAACAAGACAAAACATAACATTAACTGATGAAGGGTAGCAGTTTACCTAACAGCTGGTTACAAGTCATCTTTAGTATATAAGTCCCATTTAAATTCTGGACTTAGCCATGCAGAATAGCTTTAAAAAAAAGAAGTATCTGAAAAAAGCAACAACCATTAAGGACTGTTAAAGAGAGTTTATTTAATCCCTTGCAAAGCGTACATAGGAGAATAAGTTTATTAAATAACATCAACAACAACAACAACAACAACAACAAAGAAAGTAAGGAAATAGAAAAGAACATTGCTAGTCAGGACTGAAGCCAAGAGACATTAATTTTCACAGGATTTCTTTGCTAAATTTGCTCTTCATTCTCTTTCTCACCATATTCACTATACCATTGCAAATGGTTGGCCTGAGTCCTTTTCAGATAATTTTCTGAGGTGACCATTTTCAGGAAGTTTCCCAGAAATCAAAGCAGCCAACAGGTACTTATATAAAAAGGCACTCTACAAAAGCAACACTTACTATGCTAGATAGAACTGGTCCAGTGGGGTTTGAACTTGGAAGTTAAGCACCAAGTAGGATACAATAAACATGGAATTTGAAGGGACTTCAAGAGGCCATAGTGCATTGTTTACCCTTGGAAAGTACAACTATATCTATGTCATTTCTAACAGACACTTGTCTAATCTGTTTCTCAATGCTCTTGCAAGTGAGATTTCACAACTTCCCCAGGCAACCTAATCCATTGCTTCACTAATCTTAAAATTAGAAAAGGTTCTATGATATCTAAACTAAATCTTAATGTTTTAAGACAGTTTAAGCAGCTTACTGTTTGTTCTGTATTCTGTGAATGTTACTTCTTTATTTGGAGATATTGTTGTATATCTCTTCTATATCTCCTCTATTTCAGCCTGAACAGCTCAATTATTTTATTCTTTTTTATATGATTTTATTTTCTAAACCTCTAAATTTTAGCATGCATATAAAAGATAACAGAGATATCTGTATTTAAACCAAAGACATACTATTGCACATTACATTGATAAAAACATTCATCTGCAAATATCTCAGACTAGGTTTATTGTCTCCAGAAATTACATACATTTCATGAATTCAGTTATAGTAATAACATATGTGTTATATTCAGGAATGTACCTAACATTCAAGATACATTATAAGGAGTTTGAGGTCTGTGGATACGACAGGAGATAAAGTGAGAAGAAAAAGGTAAATATATAGATTTGGCTTAACTGGTTATGACAAACTCTGAAGAAGCCTGAGGTAAGACACTAAAGCATGAGACAAAGAAGCAGAATTAATCTCCTGTAGTATATTAGCCACTTATAGAAATTTAATTGGCAAGGTCACTTTAGTAGAGATCTCAGTGAAGTAAGCAATGCAGAGGAGACAAGGAAGTTGTGGTCCATACACGCAAGCACATAAAAATAACCCCATTTCACTTCTCTTGTATTTCTTCTCTTCAACCATTAGTTATACAACTTTAATATCACCTCTTAGATTTAGAGGAACCCTTCCTATATCTTTCCAAAGTTACTGAGGATGTGAAGACTGATGTTTGCCAATTTCTGTTCTGAATAGTAAATAAGGTTTTGTCAAAAAAAAAAAAAAGTTAAGGTCTCTGTTATATATATACTTCTGTGGCAAAGAATATAGTGAAGAGTGATAATTTTGATGGTACCTAATGCTTCTGAAGTTATAGAGGACAAAAGGACAGAAAAAAAAACAGAATAAATCAGGAAGGCAGGAAAGTGAAGTCATGCTATCAGATTTTTTTTCTTATTAATATTTTATTTTGCATTTGGTTGTAGAAAGGAAATAAAAGGGAAAATCTAAAAACAAAATCAGATTTGGATTAAAAAAAAAATCAAAAGGTACTTAAAAGATAAACATAGATCCAGTTTTAGAGCAAGAATCAGTGACATGAGTTGCAGAGCTTTTGTTGTTGATGATGATGTTTTTAATTAATAAAAACAGTTCTTCTTGTGAATCTTCTTCACATGCTCTGCCTACTCAAAGCTTTTACATATTTCTGTACTCACTTCCTCAGGAGTAACAAATTTCTGCAATCAGCTCCCTTTGTCTTGAACTATTTTTTCTTCTTTTCTGACTGTGTGCCATATCTTCTTGATTGAGTAGAGCTTTCTTTTCTCTTCTGGCATAAAATGAGACATAAAAGAAGTTTTGCTGACTGCAAATAAGAAAAGGCAATCTGTCAATTTCTTCACTGAAAGCAATACTGAAGGTAAAAGTTCAAGGCAACACTGAAGGTAAAAGTTCCTTTAAAAATAAGCTTTCTGATTTTTTGCCCAAGTGATCTAATTACCATGCAGACAATGAGACCAGGAGACAGAAATTCCTCTTCCTCTGTCACAGGTTTTATGTGTTATTTACCCATTTATACGTTGAAGCAGATAGAAGAACCTACTTAGGTTCTCATGTCCTGTCAAAACTTATTGAATATTGGATGTTAACATGCTAGAACACAGGAACATGAAAATTGTGGGGATTTTCAGATGTTTTCAATGGAATATAATTTATTAGAACAAGTGGAAATCATCATTCTGTATCAAACATTGTTTAATATTGATTTCCATCATATTCATATCATATGATGAACTGGGGTGGAAAGAAGGCAGTTTATACTGTTTTTATATATGAATATATGAATAAGCCAAGTCAGTGCTTCTACAATACAGACCTCAAGACCTGGTGCCAGAGGTGGGTTACAGAACAGGAGATGCAAGAAAGATTGCATCTCTGCATGTAATCTGAGGCACTTCTAAGATTTCTTATGCCCTGTCACTTAAGTTTCCAGATGTTTCTGGAAATGTTTCCTAAAAAGATACTTCCTAAAAAATGTTTCATAAAAGATGTTTCCTAAACCTTTGCCTTTAGGAAAGTCAGAGCAACACTCTATAAGCAATCCCACACAATTCTTTGTGGAAGCCACATTGCATTCGTTACATTGTCTAAGCTTATATATGGATAATGCCTGTATTAAAGCTAAATTTGCTGGTGTAATTTATTTGGCCAAACTCTTAGTTTTTAGTTTAGTAAGCTCTAATGTTTACTGTGGGGTTCATTTAATTAACCACTTTTTCAATTAGTAATATATTAACGTCATGATAGAAGTGGTTTGTGAAATCAATTAGCTTGATTTTCCTTGAGGCAGAGATCAATATTGTACTGTAATGGCGTATGGATTCTCCAAAAAGAAAAAACAAACAGACAAATGAACAACCAAAACAACAACAACAAAAAAATACTAGTCAATATTGTTAACTGTTATTCCCATATATTAACATTTATATGCAGAGGAAATCAAATTGGATTTTGAAATTGATGATTTTACCAGGGATGTGTGGGGCAGAGGGAGGATATTTTTTTCTTGGTGATGCATATTATTCACATTACGATGTAATTCCAGACAGACCATCTCTATTAAGATGTTAAATGCAGTTGTTCAGAAACTACTTGTTATTGAGAAATTCCAGTTTTCCATAAGAGAAGGTCCAATGATCATAAATGAAAGGGGAAGATTAGAAAAAAAACCAAAACTTTATCTTCCAAATAAATTAGGGATTTCCTTCTCATGAAGTCACAATTATTAGCAATTATTATTGCTAAATGGATGAACCTTTTAAAGCAAATAAATACAACTTTATATTATTGGTACTGTTCCCTTCCCAATAAAATTTGGCCCATTTCTTCTTAAGGGTAAAAAATATGAAATATTTACAGAATCACAGAATCGTTTAGGTTGGAAGAGACCTCCAAGATCACTGAGTCCAACCTCTGACCTAACACTAACAAGTCCTCCACTAAACCATATCACTAAACTCTACATTAAACATCTTTTAAAGGCTTCCATGGATGGTGACTCCACCACTTCCCTGGGCAGAAGTGGTGGAGTCCACCACTCCACCCATTCCAATTCCTAACATTCCAATGCCTAACAATCCTTTCAATAAAGATGTTTTTCCTAATATCCAACCTAAAGATCCCCTGGCACAACTTTAGCCCATTCCCCTTCGTCCTGTCACCAGGCACATGGGAGAATAGACCAATCCCCACCTCACTGTATTGAAACTTTCTGTGTAGTGGTTTAACCTGGCAGGCATCTAAGCCTGTGGGTTGAGATAGATACAGTTTATTAAGAAAGAAAAGAAAGGATAATAATAATAATAATAATAATAATAATTAATAATAATAATAATAATAATAATACTGTGTACAAAACAAGTGATGCACAATGTAATTGCTCACTACCCACTGACCGATGCCCAACATATCCCCCCCCCGAGCAGCCAGTTCCTTCTCCCTCTCCCCCCCTCCACCAATCCTAGCCAGCTCCCTCATATTAATTGTTCATCATGACATCAGATGGTATGGAATACCCCTTTGGACAGTTGGGTTCAGCTGTCCTGGGTCTGTCCCCTTGCAGCTCCTGCTGCACCACCATCCTGCCCGCTGGCAAGGCAGTGTGAGAAGCTGAAAAGTCCTTGGCTTAGTGTAAACACTGCTCTGCAACAATTAAAACATCAGCATGTTATCAACATTCTTCTCATCTTAAATCCCAAACACAGCACCATACTAGCTTCTAGGAGGAAAATTTACACTATCCTAGCCAAAACCAGGACTTTCTCCTATAATACCAGAGTAGCACAAGGGAATGCAAAGGATAGAAGATAGAAGTAATAAATTATTTTTTTTTCCCCTGAAGAAACACAAACCTTCCTGTGGCAACCACTGAAAATAACCTAAAAATAAACTTCATGCAATTATTTCAGTCTATATTCATAAAGTTATTAAGCACAGAACTTCTGTTTGGTTACTCCTTTGAGAAAAAGCTGGGTTAGGAGAATAAATAAGAATTTACTGAATTAATACTTTTGTTTGCTTGAGTAATCTGGTTTCCTCAGTGATACAGATAATGAATCAGTGATCAGTAAAACCCTATGGGAAGTGAAAATATGACAACTGTCATCAAGTCTTTTTAACTGATATACAATTACGAAAAGCACTGTAATTTTCCTGTACACAGATATTGTCTAAAGAGTTTAAGAATAGAGACATTATCTCTTTAAAATATATATTATCAAAGGTGAGGATGAAAAAATCACCATGCCTTAAATGACAGTCCTGGTCTCTACTCCTGGTCCCCAGTTGTCCTGGTTTCAGCTAGGACAGAGCTAATTTTCCTCCTAGGAGCTGGTAGAATGCTATGTTGTGGATTAGGATGAAAAGAGTGTTGATACCACGCTGATGTTTTAATTGTTGCAGAGCAGTGCTTACACAAAGCCAAGGACTTTTCTGCTTCTCACACTGCCTTGCTAGCCGGCAGGATGGTGGTGCAGCAGAAGCTCAGAGGGGACAGATCCAGAGCAGCTGACCCAAACTGGCCAAAGGGTTATTCCATACCCTCTGATGTCATGCTAAACAATAGATAGGGGTGGCTAGCTGGGATGGGGCGGCCATCTGCTCAGGGATAGGCTAGGCATCGGTCAGTGGATGGTGAGCAATTGCATTGTGCATCACTTATTCCATATACAGTAGTAGTAGCAGTACTATTATCGTTATTATTTTTTTTTTCCTGTCTTAATAAACTGTCTCTGTCTCGACCCACAGGCTTCATTTTCCTATTTCTCTCCCCCATCCCATACAGGGAGGGGGGAACGTGAGCGAATGGCTGTGTGGTGCTTAGCTGCCAGCCGGAGGAAACCACAACAACAATGTAGTCATGTAACCAAATTAAAGCCAAAACTTTCAGCCCAGTCCTTGACCTGAATAGGGAGTGAGGATCCGGATCCTGGCATTTATACATGATGGTTTATATGCAGTCAAAGTAAATACTGCAGTCAGAGGTCATGGAGCTAGATTTTGAAAAGTCCTGCATAAAGAAGAGATCTCAGAAAAGCAAATTTAAATAACATTAAAGTCAAGAAAAGTCATTCTGATTGCTATATTCTTTATCTGTCATGACTAGACAGATGAAAATCTATGACAGCAATTTTGCCTGGTCCCCAGTAGCCCTGGTCCCCCTGTCTTAAAAAATTACCAATATTTATTCTTATTTTTTCATACTTTTTTTTTTTCAACATTGTTTTGCAATCAAACGGTAACAAGAAAGAGTAGATTAGAGCAGTCAAAGGTCAATAAATGAACTAAGACATTCATAAACGGGACCATATAGACACTAAAATCTTATCTTATGACCAATAGGAGGAGAGATGCTTTATACAGATAGCTATCTTAAATTAACCTCCCTTCCCAGTCAAAGAAACTTGTTAAAGATGCGATGAATCAGGCATAGATCGGTATGAGCAAACATTTCCTGCTTTTCATTTTTCCCCATTACTTTACATTTTACATCTGGGCACCTCAGTAACATTTTAATACTTAGTAATATTGATGTTTTTTCTACATATGAATAATTTCCATTTGAATAACAGTCTGTGTCTGACAAATGTAGTATGATAATGTTGCTTTGTCACTGGAGGCAGTGGAGTTCACATCTCCAAAGAAAGAAATTATCATTGGACAGGAAACATAATGAAGTAAAAGTTATTCCTGAATTCCTGCAGGACACTTCTATCTGATACAATCATGACATTTTAACTGAAAATGTGTAGTGCTAATTAGTAAAAAGTAGAAGTGTAATTAATACTGAGCTATGAATACTTCCCAAGTGTAACACTGCCTGTTTGGACAGAATAAATTGTTACTACTATAATTTCATCTCTGTAATTCCTTAGTGTTCTTTGTTCATAAAAATAAAGCTCTATTTTATTCAAACTAAAAATTTCCAAGTACACTTTGCTCTGAAACACATTTTTTCCACATGTGTATATACAGAAGCTTATGGCTGTTTTGGGGCCATGAAACTCTGGGCTCTGGAGTCTTACATAAGAGGAATGAATCCAGAGCAACTCATGACTGAAGATTGCTTGTGATGTTATGAAAATTAATGCTAGCTACTTGCCAGTTGTTCGTCTGTTCCTTTACAGATTAGTTTGTGTGATCTCTAGCCCCAAGCAAGCCTGAGAGTATTATAAGCATCACAGTCTGGTAGTCTGGCATGTTTTTGAAAATCAGATATTTCTAACCATTTTAATTGCCATCCCCTTGACCTTTTCCATTTCTGCCATAGGTGTCTTTAAAAACCCCAATCTTTAATCAATATTCCAT